AATTCCACTATGTTGCGTTTGCGTCAAGGAAACAGATCCAAATATCAATTAGCGGTTGCCCTGCATTTCGTCGGTATCCAGCGGTAAGTAAACAAACTTGCCTATTATAAGATTTGAAGGGTTTCGGAATGACCTATTTAGCGAAAAGACGCACGTGACACTTTTGATATTGCAAAAGCTCATAAAGTCGGACTTGATGTGCTTCCTTGGTAGTATAAAAAAATATCTTTTGTACTCTGAATTACCTATGTAAAAATAGTTACAATGACGACTAAACATCTATCTGCGTAAATAAATGCGAATTACGTATAATTACGCTATTAGGAGCCAAAAATATAAGAATACAGTAACGTCGGAAAAATAATAAATTATAATTAAAAGGCAAAATATTCTTAATTACTTAGTTTAAAAATGGATTAAATTGACAGATACCACGAGTTAGCAGACTAAAATAACTAGTTAAAACTGGTTATTTCTACAATTAAGATTATTAAAACATACACCTGTATAAAGAATAAACACGTGCTTTGATATATTCATATCTAAATCCATAGATTTCCGCGGATTATAGACATGAAAATAAAAGATTTAAACATGTTTTATATCCACGTACACGTTATTATTGGCGTAATTAATAATATAAAAAGAAATAATTATTTTATTATTTAATCATAATTCATTAAAGCAATTCATAAAAAAAAAAACCAATCAAAATGGTATAATAATTTAACATCAAAAGTTCCTGCTTTTAATAATTAGTAGATCAATTATGTTAAAGCCTAACATACAAATATAGCTCAAGGGTGATTAACCAGATACATTAACAAAAGTCATGGTCAAATCGTCTCTATATTTATACAGGTTGTAATAAATTTTAGTAAACGTCTTTATTGTTACCAAATTGTTCAAATTTCCACATTGAAACGTCACGCTTGTCAGTCAGGTCGTTAACTGAATGTAGTCGTAACTTAATCTTATGGTGGTGTTTAAATATATGGTGTGCTCACTTTTTTGGTTAGGATAAATTAATTTTCAACCTCAAGGCTGAAGGCGAGATGCGGAAATTTTATTTATATCTTAGGCTTAAGTATCAATCAGATAATGGGCGAAAGTGATAAAATTAGAAGAGAAATTAACCTAAATAAAATGTTTATTCAATTAGTATTATAATTAATGATATAATTATATCTTATGCAACGTTGATAAAGACGGCTCACCTGATGTAAAGTGATTGTGAATATTACAGAATATTCGCTGGCGCCCATTGTCCTTAAGGTTTTTTTTTTTAATGAATGATAATGGAATAGTAACCTTGCCTGCACTAAGGATATACGCTGGCGGAGCACCAGTGAGGGCTGATAAGTGAGGATGAAAAGCCAGGTTAGTTAGCCCCTCGTGATGAATACATCTAAAATTCAACACGATGGTTTCCAGGAAGGACCACGTGAAAGCCGACTTGATAAGGTATATGGCTAGCAATAGGACTGGTAATCCGCATTGCTAACAATCCCTTCCCCCTGACTAAGGTATTATGTCTTCTTATCCTTTAATTAAACTGCAATGTTCACGGTCGTACAAAAACTAATGTTTGGCGAGAGAAACCGGAGGAAAGATATACTGTACAGACAACTTTTGTACAGTTTTTCTGTGGTACCTTTCTTAATTATATCATAGAGTTCTTATACTATCTCTCTTCGTAAACATATTAATTTAATTATATAACTTATACATTAAAAGTATTTACATTGATTATTTAGAGAACATTAGAAACATTTACAGATTTAATGGATAAAGTATTTAATTAAATTTAATCTAATAAATTGTTGGCTCTAATAAACAATTAATTTACAAGGTTAATTTACAATGAATTACAATTAAAAAGGCATAACACCTTAGTACTCAGGAATGGCCACGTATGGAGGCTATCATGGGCGAAACAGTATACTACATTATATTCATAATACTGTTCGTTTCTATAGGCGAACTGTAGTTACTACTTTCCATCAGGTGGACCGTCAGCTTGTTTGGCATTTAAAGTGACACAAAAAAAGGTTTGAATCCTTGTATTTCGATCCCTTTTGTTCACACAGACCACAATTGTTCCATAGAATGAGTTGTTATCTCTTACGAGACAAACTTATCACTATGAACAGTGAGTACTGCTCAGCACTGAAAATGAATTTATCCTTCACATTTGATTTGGTAACATGACAGTCAAGTAACGTTGTGTAAACGTTTGTATATTCCTAGCAACTATCGTGTACTTTTGGTTGTAATTTAAACGGCTATTAAATGAACGTATTGTATTTCTATACCTATGATTCGTGACGCGTCAGTGAGCATGACAACTAGGCGCCGCGACCGCTGTTACGACCTACCGTTAGAACAACAAACATCGGTGACATATGAAAAATATTTATTATCTACTTAACATATGTAATTATGTATATTATCTCAATCTATATTTATCCACTGCTAGGCATAAACCCGCCTCAATGGCAACATATCTTATTAATTAAATTGTAACTTGTGGCAATATTTGTATATGAGAGACACTTAAGAAAAAATAATACGAAGGGTCTTAATAAGACCGAGAGATGTCAAAAGAATAATTTTTAGAAATTTTGTCTGTCTATCTGTCCGTATGTTTGTTCCAGCATCACGCAAAAACTACTAAACCAAATTAGATGCAATTTTCACAACTATATTTCTAAAGATCTAACTTAAAATCTGATATGTTTTATCTTGATACGCCATTTAGAAGCTGTCGTGTCACTGGTTTTCCTATTTCTGAAATCCACACGTACGAAGTTCCACACAATATGCCACAGTATTATAAAATATATAATAAAATTCTAAGCATCAAAAAACATCCTAAGCATACAATTCTTAAATAAATTTGATCGCCTTCCCAGCAACGGTGTTAATTTCATTTTCAACTTACATAAGTTTGATCATATTTCTTCATTTCAAACCCAAATTGAATGGCTTCTTATCCGATAATGTACGCAAAGTATGTATATTTTGTTGTATTTATTCTCAATGATCCAGTTTCTCTTGAATATCTTAAAAATTCATGGGGACAAAAATAATTATTGCCTTCGTCGAACTAGAACTTTCATCTTTAGTTTTCTATCGTCGCTCATCGTTCTGGATATTGTATATATTATGTATGTGTGGGTACGTATTTATATTATTTTATTTCATGTATTCAATATTATATAGTAGTGCATTCCTTTTTGCAGATAATATTTTTCTATTTTTTAAATTTTCAATTGTACCACTAACAAACTTCTGTGCTTGTCCTATGATTAAGTGATAGAGTATGCCTTTAGGTAGTTAATCATGGGGCATCTATTGCTTAATCATTAGATTTTTTATGGGTAAAAATGAAATGTTAAACCTCGCCTGCTCTACCGGTTTACAATGACCGGATACCAATGAGTGATGATATGTGAGGATAAACAGACCAGTTAGCCCATCGTGACTAATTCAAGAACTAACCACTATGGTTTCCAGAGGTAACCGCATGGAGGTTAACCCGAGAGGATATATTGCTAGCAATGGGGTTGTTAGACCCTATTACTTTACTCGAGTTTTTCGTAAAAATCTGCCGTTTTTGAAAAATGTATGTTTGCCTATTAATTGTAAGAAAATCGCAAAATATTTCTTAACAAAATTTTAAATTGAGTTAAACCATAGCCAAGTTATATATATAATGTGTATACCAAAGTGTCATTCACACTGCCTCACATCAGTGGTTTTCGAGATACGGGTCTTTTGAGGTCAGTATTCTGTCTGGGATGTGCCATCCGTTTATATTATTTCTATTTCTCTGATATGTGCAAAATTTACACATATTAAAGAAATATATGTGTGATCTTAAATCTCTAATACTAAAGTTTCTCTCAGTAAAATCTAGATAATTACACTCTATCTTAAACATAAGAGTAAAATGAGTAACTCTATTAAAGATAATATAAATAATTTTAAAAAATCTACTGAATTATATTATTACAAAAAAGATTCATTCTTTTGCCATATAAAAATACATGTCTGAATTGAATGTATCTTGTATTCTGTAACTTATCTATATATCCAAACATAATATTAATTAAGCAAATATAAAACATTGAAACTTAAGAACAACTTCAAATTGGCCATTCGTTATCGCATTATAGTTAATATTACTATAGTACTGTTACTTATACCGTGATAATATTTAGCTACCAACGTTCTAGTTTGGCACAAAGACAATAGCAACTTCGTTGTTCCCCACAAGTCATGAGTCGTAATAAAATCGTCAACACATTGTCTTACGCGCAATACATTATTTCATTTGTAGGAAATTTAACCTATTGCCCTACATCGCTGTAAGCCGATATGAAAACTTAATGAACGCAGATGCAATGACGACAGTATAGATATGATAAGCAGTGATGACTTATATAACATTAGCAATGTATATTGCGTGTCACAATAACAATAAACAGTGCAATAATAATTGTTACATTGAAACTATTATAAAAGTATGCCGGGAAAATGTGGTCTCTTCCACATACACACACACACACACAAATCCAATATTATATACCTATTACATATAACAAAAGAAAACGTTCTAATTAACGAACATCGTAAATTATTTGTCTAAAACACATTACTGGAGATTTATTTCTATTTATATTTTTGTTAATCAAGGACTCAATCCATCTGTGTAACAATGCGTGATTAAACAAACATTGAATAAAGAATGATATTTTTTTCAAAATTTTCTATAGGGTATACGGTTAATTACATTAAGATATAACCACCCGGCGAAACATATCTGCAAAATGTCATAATAATATCAAACAAATGATCTTCAATTATGTACAAGGTGAGCTCTAGATTCTAGAAAATATTCTTATCTACACAAAATTAACACGAAACGGACAGATTAGCCATTTATGTGTATTTGTTTTGTACAAAGACTGTTGATTGCCAAAGATAAGACTAACCTTGTCAAATGTGATGACCGGATTAGCGGATCCTATGGTGCCATCCTTTTTCTTCTCTATCTTGTAGACGACAATGTTGTTCTCCCGTACGGTGTGAATGATGAACGCCTTAGAGTCAGGACTCCATGCAACATGGGACGCGTGGTCAAACTCGATGTTCACACGCAACGTCTTGTGTTCCTTTTGATTCAGATCCCGGATATCCCATAGAATCACAGAACCATCTGGGCAGAATTGTTATGTATTACCACATGCATATATGTAAAACTATTGTGGTCGTACATGTTAATATAATTTCGAGGTCGCCTTCACTTAATCTTGTGCTAGAACAATAGTTTGTGACCTATAAAAAATACAATAATTTCTTTCATTTGTAAAATGTACGCGTATGTTTGCAAATCACTCGTATTGTTCGCAATAATAATATATTTCTGAAACGTAAATCCTATTAATTGTTTCCTTTAAAATAGTATTCATTTAAAATGCATTTAACTTTTTTTATTTATGCAACTTAGAATGGCAAACAAGCTGATGGCCCACTTGATGGAAAGTGGTTACCGTTGCCTGTAAACATAAGGAATACCATGGACATAACAGAGTGTACTGTGTCGTCCGTGATACCTCATATGCATTGGCATTATTATTATCATAGAAAACACCACAAGATAAAAATAAAAGCCACATTCAGGTATCATAATAAATCGTTCAATTTATTATAATTACTAGAGATTCTTCTTCGCTTAGCTTATTTTATCTATTTAGATTGAAAGATAGTATTTTTCATTAGCTTTAATAATCAAATTTTTGTTACTTTGGGTTACAATAAAAAAAAATATTGTACTTTTCGTAGAGATCTCTAATTCTTGTTAATATGTATATTATTTGCTGATAATGTAATAGCTTTCTAAAGGTTATATAATTTTTAAAATTGGTGTAGTTTTTTGACTTTATCCATTAAAAAAAATAGATACATATAAAATCAAATCTAGGGTAGATTTTATAATATATTAATATAGATTATTGATTATGGTCAGAATAGATAGATAGAGAATTTATTTGCATTACTTACAGCACACAAATTATAACATATATAGATATACATAAAAAGCGAAATAACATAAATGATTAAAAAAATACATAAAGCCAAATAATTTTTTTTTTGTGCGTGTGCCATAACAATACAATACAATTATTTATTTAAACAAAAAGCTACAATACATTTAATATCAATACTGTTTTAAATACTTTTTTTATAGTTGAAATTACCCGATTCAAATACCATGTGTATATAACAAGGAATATATATATATATATATATATATATATATATATATATATATATATATATATATATATATATATATATATATATATATATATATATATATATATATATATATATATATATATATATATATATATATATATATATATTCTATTTAGTAGTAAAAATAACCATATGAACTATGAACGTTTAGTTTTGAATTTGAATCGTTAGTTATTATAATTAACAATTATTGTAAATTAACAATTGTTGTATATGGAACACAGTAAAAAGCTCTAAATCATACTAAAGTATCGCTTATTATTTTTACAACAATATTGTTAATCCTTTTATAAATTAATACTTCTGTAAATTTCAAAGTCCCAATTACATTGATAGAATTCCAGATATAAAACATCGTTTTAAGGAATTCGCTTAGATAGCAAGAAAAAAAAATGCGTGAATATGAATACTCTATCTATATAGTTTTGTTTTATATTATTCTTTGTGAATTTCTAAAAAAAATTGTTTAATACCATTTACCAACACGTAGTTTTACAAGACTATTATTTAAACATTATTGTTATAAATACTTAGATTAGCAAAGATAGCGTGCCGCTTTTTTATCTACTACTCACACTTAGGTACTTATTCTTACATGCTTTTAAATATCTTTGTAATACTGTCATAACACCTTTAATTCCTAACTAATATTATAAATGTAAAAACGAATTTGTTGCCACATTTGTTTCTTGCCTTTTAGCGCCTTTACGGTTTTTTAATAAATCATTATAAAATTTAGTATACATATAGTATATCATGGGTGGCCAACCGGTGGATCGCAACTATTAGTCCAGTCGATCATGGCAAGGCAAAATATCTAATCTAGCGGAAGATGCTTAGACTCAATGCTGTGAGCATTGGGTCTAAACATCTTTAACATAAATAAGTAGTTACTAGGAATAATTTTCAGAGTTATGTTTAAAATAAGATGTATTAAAATAAAAAATACTACAATACTACATAATTGCACACTGTTCTATGTTGTTTCATTAGAGATTTCAAGAAGTATGTAATCGGTAGATCGCACAGGATTTCGTCAGTAAATAGTAGATCTTGGGTCTAGTCAAGTCGGCCACCTCTGTACTATATGGTTTGGAGGACATAGGCAACTTTTTATCCCGGAGGTCTGTGAAGTTATCCCTGTCACGCGGATGAAGTTGTAGATAAAACCTAGTCTTAAGTCAGTATTGATCAATGGTTCACTAGACGGGTGTCCAAAAGTTCAAAGAAGTTTCAAATGAAGATGGTAGTCAAATCGTTCATCAATTTATATAAAAAATATTTTTTATCGTAAATCACGTTTGTCCTCGCTATTTTGTATGGGAGATATCTTTATACTTAATGCATTGTTAGAACAAAAGATGATTGTCTGAGGAATAACATCATGTAATTTTTTAAAGGTCACTAAATCAAATTAATAAGTATTTATACAATGACATAAGAATAATCGTAACGATTAATATAAGTATAACATAGAAACAGTTCTTAAAATGTAATGACGATGTCATTAGATTAGATAAATAAACTACCTTTATCTATAAGAGTCACTAATATACAATATTTTAAAAATGAAATCGTTAGCGATAATCTCAATTATCGTACTTCTTTTGTTATTGCCACACTCATTATTATTATCATATCGTTAACTGTCCATTACTGAATATAGGCCTTCCCCATAAGGAGAGTTTTGCTAGTAGTTGCCACGCTTACTTTCAGTTAAATTATCATACTTAGTTCAATGTGTCCTTATTACGGATTCTTATTATTACCAACCGAAGTGATGACAGCTCGGGCAAAAATTGCTTAACTGCAGTCCGGTGATTTGAAAATCAATTCCCAGCAAAAACCTCTGTATCTTCAAGTCCTTGTATAGATAGTTTAAATAATGATTGTGATTTGCCTTGTGTTTAAGAGAGCACGTAAATGTGATAAGCAATGTACGGCAAGGCATTACAAATATGACGAAGGTGGCTAGAAACTCTTGACATTAAAGGACACCCTCCTCATACGAGTAATAATCATAATAGTACTAGCATTACTAGCTGTACCTGTGACGTCATTCGCATAAAATTCATATAAAATTTTTTTTCTATATCAACCAATGAACAAAGACCTCTACGTTCTACATGATTTCATATACTCCAGGAACTAAAAACTCACATTAAATGCCAATCAACCAACCAATTTTGATAAAACATACCAACTTTTAAATTGGATTAATATCTACTTTTTTATACCACGAAAGTGGCGAACAAGTATACAGCCCATATGAGGGTAAACAGTCACTGTAGCATATTGACGCCTGTGACACTAGGGGTTTCACGCGTGCATAGCCTACTCTAAAAAATCTTAATACACCCTTTTTGAAGAATTTAGGAATAACCTCGGCAAGGGACTCATTCCACAGCTTGAACATTCACGAGAGGAAACTCCTCTAAAATCGGACTGTACACGGTCATTAGGTTATAGCGTGTGAGGATGAATTCCCTGTCGATGGCAAGAGTAGAAAGTTGATGTAGGCATAATTTCGAATAATTCCTCTGTACAGAATCAATTATACAAGAAGTAGAACACAAAAAGGGAGGTAAAGTGTCGCCTTAGACTTAGAGAACCTTTGAGCTAAGAGTGTAAGCTGTTTAAGTCTCCTATCCACTAAAGGTTAACGGACCATTTGATATCGAAACTGAGTCACTGTTTCAAGGCCTAAAGATTTCAGGCAGTTACGAATTCACAGCGTGCTATACTCAACGGTAACTGGCCGATTTCTCGATTGGAAATCGGAGGCAATTTTACCTAGTGACTTTCAAAATATAATCATCTAGATAGAAAATCAGAAATTAGGTTACTTACTAGTTATATAAATAATTATGAAATTTATTTATTTATTGTTCGATTATGTTTACTTACTAGGGTTACAATATACTTACGACTATAATCCCACGTGCAATATCAGAAGATTTGTCAATTAATTGCGCTAAAGCAACAGATGATTTGGCTACACTTCGCCGAGCATCAGAACCTAACATGACAGAGGCGTCTAGCTGTATAACCTAATAGTTATACGTTTCAATTGGTACAATTTTACACAGTTTTACAAAAAAAAGTTTCCGATATTAAGACTTTATGTAACTCGTAATGACAAACAAATTGACGGACCAACCTGACAGAAAATGGTAACTGTCGCCTAAAGACACGAACTGCATCATAAAAAACATGCGTTGCACTTCCTGAGAACTAATATATTATTGTATAGTATCTTGTAATATTACTGCTTCTCCTTCAAAACCAAAATAGCAATGCAAGTACGGCCGATTCATGGCATAGAAATGAATGGATCAAAGGCGCCCATGCAGACGACTTTTGTACAAAATTTCCTTTCAAATATATCTACAATGTCAAAATAATTTAATTATATATAACCTCTAAATACAAAACACGTGGGTTGTTATGACCGTGGCCTGTATGACCGGGTCGACGCTGAAAAACTTATCGTATGTGTACACGTGAATTTATAATGATACTACTATTGAATTGAAAGTATGAATAAACCGATTTTTAACCAATTGCAAAAATAAGTTTTTTAATTTGGTCTTATTTTTTGTGATTGTTACCCCCATAACTCCGTTATATATAAACCAGTTTGGATATTTTTTTCATCTGAAAGGATATACTTACAAATTGGTTCTATAGAAATTTTATCAAAATCGATTTATAATAATTTTTAAATGAAAATAACTGGTTTTGTCACAATTGGAGTCGATTCGATCGTCATTTTTTTCATTAATGGTGTCGTAAGAGACAAATACACCTTGGTTGCGAGAGAAAATTCGGTGTACCAATGGGATTTAAGTTCCCCTTATAAGAGACCCTTGACCAAAAATGACTTGCTAATAAATAGCTAATAAAGATGCCTTTGATAACCCTATTACCTGTTAATGTATATAAAAATTATCACTGTGTGCAGTGTGGGCTATGGCCCATTGATAGGTCCAGAAACAAGAAATTGTGTATACATAAAACGAAGGCACCCACAGACAATTTTTTTATTTAAGCTTTTATACAAACTTTTATTGTAAAAATAAAATTTGTAATCCTCTATTTTATTCGCTTAATACAATATAACAAAAAATTTAAATACAAAAAAAAACCCCATTGTAAGGATTAATCGCTTCGCTAAGAAAGTTTTAATGCTATTTTCCTGACAAGTTCTTTCTTTCCTTTCTGATTGATCTTTCTTTTAATCTGGAATTTTGGTTATTTTACTGAAGTGGGTAAAAAGACATTATCAAGAGAAATAATATTCATGCCTTTCATAATAAATAAACATTTAAACAGTAGTTTCAGCGTCAAGACAAATAATACAATGAAACGTTCGAATATTGACAAAAGATTTAAATACTGTTTAAATTTAAATTGTTTAACCTACATGTCTGACCTGCATCTGACTTGAATGATTTTGAAGTTAGCTACTTCCTGATCTTTCTATAGAGTATATAAACTACATATTTTTATGTTGGCCTCTTTAACTTTATTATTATTTTTAACGAAATTTTAATAACTTTAATAAATCCTGTTTTTATTATCAACAGTTAAAACTCGTGTTACAAAGTGACATATACAAGATAGTTAATAACTACGCGTGCGTTTGAATCTTTTCGTTCAACGGCCTCAAGGGAACTAGGAAGTCTACAGTCAAATATTATATATACTCACAAAAACTTTAATTTACAATAAGCCCTCATTGATGTTTGCTACATACATAAATTTCGTGTGTATATATTTGAATAACGTTTGTCGGCTCGTACATATATAATGAAGACGGAGATTTTATCCGATCTGTAGGCAAGACAAAAACTCGTCTCTGGCAGAGATACTAAATTCAAGGTTCAATCGTACTCTCGATTGAGGCCAAGCGTCATCGCAGGCAAAACTCAGGCTCGTGGGTAGGCTGTTGGTTTGGTCACGTCACAGATTGGTTATTACCTTGGTAACCAATTTATTGGCAGGTTTTAGTAAAGAAAACTGTACAAATGTCAATATCACGCTTGCATGATTCATAAATAGAGTAAGTTCAATGACATACCAGATCTTTCGTGAAACAGGTGAATCTACATTCTACCGTATTATTCATGAAAATGTAAAGTCTTATTAAACTTATCTTAACAATTTGTATTGCATCTTTCTTGCAAATCGAGAAAAAAAGAGATAAAAGAGATCACTAACAAGTTTATACCGTCGCGTAATCTCAATTTATAATACTTATAGTGCGTATAAAAATCTGGTATTTTTGCGTGACTGCACCTTATTTTCTCACAAGTACGACACTAAGTGGTGGGTCTTTGTTAATGGTTAGCAGTGGGGAAGATGACGAAATACACTACACTGTGCAAGTCTTATTGTGAAATACATATTGACACGGCAAAATTGAACGGCGCTACGCTGATGTTCGAATATGTTTTGTTTACAAACACAATACCATTTATGTTTTGTGTTATAATTACACATAGCTAGATACAGGACGACAAAGTATTTCTAAACAAGAGTAATTAAATATTATTAATTTAATATTGTTTTTTGTGTCAAAGAAAAAAATTTTTAATCGAAACAATTCAAGAAATTAACCCGATTCAACTACCGGTAATATTATTTCATATAATGTATACAAAATAATAGTGGGTAATATTTTTATGTGCACGAATTTGTGATCTAACAAACGGGTAAAGACTTTTTCCTGTATATTACGACATATTTGTTTCAGTAATAATATACAAAGAGTACCTACATGATAATAATAAGTAGTATCTAAAACGTCATTAACGGCGACATATCGTCTGATTTTATTGATAGTACGTTTATCGATATCAAGAATGCCAATATCAATATAAATACATAAACATTTATATATATATACACTTATGCTGCTAATGTCTATTTTGAGCTTGGTCGGCGATGACGGGTAGAGCTCCGCTTCCGTTCTCAGAAATCTGCAGACTTTTACCAGCTGTTTATTGTTTTGATGATATGATTATGTTGATGTCATAGATACTAATCATAACAATCGATAAATATTAAATAGGTACTACAGTAGTAATGTTTACCAATTCTTTATTCTTTGTAACAATGGTCATATCCTATTGATCTCATCAATATATTTTATTTATACCCATTCTTGGGTCAAGCTCTACTATGTTGTGTTCTAAAGAAATGCTAACTGGACGTCTTAAGAGAAGACAGGATAGTAAAGGACTAACAGTGAAAGACTGTGTAATGTTTGCTATAAATGTGTTCATTGGTATTGGATAAAGTAGAGAAAACCGAATCAGAAGGCGGACACTTCTTGGATATTGTTGCCAGGATTCGCCTTCGACTAATATTTTTTATTAGACACAATATCCAATAAACAACCTGGAATAGAAAAATTTCTAAATATGCTAAAAAGAAAACTACAGTTTTTAACCAGACTACCAAAATACATATTAAATAACATAAAAACTACCATTACCTAAAAGATATTTGTACCTATTGGTATTGTAAAACTTATCTACATTATCTAGCAAGGAAGTTTTTATCCTCGACTATCAAGGTAAGAAAGATAAAGTACACTTATTTGATTATAGTAAACGTAATATTAATTGTTATATTTCTTGAGTAGTCTCAAAACATACTTTTTATTTAAGGGCTTACTACAAATATTCGAAAGCAGTCAGCAGGTCACAAGGAATAATAAAGCAATATTTTTATATAAACAAAATAAAGGTTTCTGATGCTTTGTCGTTAATATTGTTGTATTATTGAAATTGGTAAAACTTTATCAGACAAATAATTTCCTTACTGAAATTCTCTATAATTTAGTTTGACATGTATTTAAATTGACTGTATCAAACAATTGTGGTACTACACAGAAAACAACACAAAATCTAACTATACTAATTTGAAATTCAACATTATTAATGACTTTCAGCGATTTCTTAGTCTCCCGAGGTGGAAGTCGTTTGGTTTGCTCATCCACTAGTCGTTTCGTCATAAGTTTATGTAAGTAAATTATGTAATAAGAGTGCACGGTCGGCTGATATATGTAGTACCTATTTATAATTGTAGAAGAGCAATTGAGTGTACAAATAAATTTAATAATTTCTTGTACAGAAAAAATATAAAACAGTTTTGATATAAATAAAACCACGTACCAGATTTTAAAAGTAAACCCACGCTATGAACAATTATAAGAACCACAATACTACCTAAAACATCCAAACTGAACTAAATTTTATGAATCAAATTATTTCGTTGTATACCAGTTACAGATACGTTATTCACATGTTTACTAACGGGAAATATCGCGTATTCATATGACTCATTTCTTGAGAAAAATGCAGAAGGGTCTACTTAGTCACTATTTCACTAAGACTAATATCGTGATTTATATTGTAAATGATAATATATATAGATTTAAATTGATAAGTATTCACTTTATTTTCCAAATCGAAATGTTTCTAGCACGTGCCATTTTCCTGTTTGGGGTTTTGAATACTCGTGAGTCATTTTATTATTATGTCATAATCAATTAATCCTTTACATCAGCAGAGCCGTGAAAATAGAATGGATTGAACCAATAAATACTATTCATAGTTTTGACATGAATGACTGAATCATATACTTTAGATATAGTGTAAAACATTGAGTTTGTGCTCTGTCTCACGCACCTATATAATACGTGGCAAATGACAGCTGATTACGTAGCAGTAGTAGAGAAACCAAGCCAGTTCAGTGAAAGTGTTTATGGTTCTATAGAGACACAAAAATAAACACACGCTGAATTGATAACAAAAATAATCATGTATACTTTAGCAGACATAAATTTTTATAAATGCCTGAATCTGAATTCATATTTGTATAGCAATATGATAACTACTGAATATAAACCAACGAACTAGATTATAGAGCATCTATTTAGTACATAATGCAGGCATTTATAACATATTTGTGTTTACTTATTTATGTGTTAATATTACTTACCATGGGGTTGGATTGGAGGAATAAATAATTAGTAGACAAAATTTAAAAAAATATCACGTTTATTGCCTGAATGCAATCCGAAGGCACATACTATTCAGTACGCGCTCTCCGTCAACGTTATTGTCACAAAAAATGTCCTTTCACACATTATAACATACCTAGAAGGAAATCATAGTTCAAGAACAATTATTTCACTATATATTTTTAGGCGGCACTGACTAATGGATCATACGGCTGCAAGACGTGCGACTGATTCGATTTGCGCGCACGGTTTGCTCTCTCCTCGTGCACTTTAAGAAGAACCAAGTCCATAGCTGCCCGAGCATCTTCTAAAGGCGAATGACCTGCGGTGTTACGCTGCACATTTCGTCCAAGCAACTCCTTAGAAAGAGCACGCAATGATCGCCTTAATGGAAAGCCTTTGGCGTGAGGATATAATGCACATGTGTCCACTACTGCACTATGTAACAATTTTAAAGCTCTGAGATCGTTATCCAAAGCGTGACCAATGAGTATCGTATCAGTGCCAACAAATCCTAGTATATCGTTCTGAACATCTCTTAGCGTCTTAGTCGCGCGCCCCAAGTCGCGCGGCCTGATGCCTGAGAATCTGGTATTGTGATCTACAACAGGCGAGCTTGGTTTAACTAGTGATTTATATACTAGTCGGCCATCTGGTGCTATAACGGCAATACTTGCTAGTTCCAATCCTGCCGTTGTATAACACATTTCTGCGTCGAGCGCATATACTCCTCCGCGAGGTGAACGTGCTCGTACGTATCCCTCAAGAGGCCCATTCATTCCAGGTCGTGTACCACTCCACACATGAAAACACGCCACAGTGCAACCTCTAGTACCGAATACAGCATTACAGCAGGCATACCTGTCTCCGCTGAGACGGCCCCAATGATACACACACGATTCCTTTTTTAAATATTCACCTTCACGAGTTATTTGAAACATTTTATCACAACGCACACACAAATGAATGTCCACTGTATCCGCTTCTTCGTCACTGTCAGACCGTGGGGTTGAGCCCCACGAACCTCGCCCACTGTCACCTTGTGAACCGCTAGGCACGAATTCTGGAGCGTTGACATCCCACGTCGTATGCGGTAGAGGTCGAGATCGAAGCGGTGGATTTATATAGACCACTGCCTTCGATGAGTTGGGTTCTATTTCTAACGGATATCCTAATGCCCACATCCGCTCTGGTGACAGTAGATGAGGGCGTAGAGCCTCTGCTAGTTCTTTCGAAGAGATTCTCTGCGGCGTCGACGGCGTCGGCGGCGCGGACGGGGAGAGGCGTCGATCACGCGGCTTATGTAGGCGTGCTGCGATGCTGGTAGAGTCCACCGTCGTGACGGTCTCTTGATAAAACCAATCATGAAATTGCATACAGAAATGCATATTTCTTGTCTGGCTAGTATACACATAGAGTCGAAAAGTAACACGGAGCTGGAGCCGACTGATACGTGTAGCCGGGCGCGCGGTCGCTGTGCTAATGCGCGCTGGTGGGGCAGCCCACGCTTTATACGTCACGACGTAGGTAGCGCGCCTTCGTTAACGGGACATGACAATCGACCGGCCTATTCTCATTTTTCTAAACAATAATAAAACTTCTTTGTAAAGATACATTTAAAGATTTTTACCTTATTTTATTGTATTCACTTTACATAAAATATACCTATATTGTCCATTTAATTGTAGGAACTGTTCGAATGATTGTCATAACCGAACCGTGTCGTCTGCCGGTTTGTTTACGCAGATCAGCTGATATGTTCGCGGGGCGTCGTAACCGTTGGTAGACGTACCGAACACGCGACTAAACTAATTCCACTTTCTACTTCACTTACATCTTTCATCTGTAGTTTACGAATGTTATAACTAAATTTTTTTAAGCAACTTAGAATGGCAAACAAGCTGACAGCCCACCTGATGGAAAGTGGTAACGGTCGCCTATAGACATGAATAGTACCATGGACATAACAGAGTATATTGTTTCGCCCATGATACCCCCCATGAATTGCCATTCCTGAGGACTCAGGTGTTATTCCTCTATGCCCTGTAAATTAATTGCTATATATCCCACCCTTCAAATCGAAACACAGCCATGCAAACACAAATGTTTCACGGTAGAAACATGAATGGGACAGAGGTACCCAAGCAATCAACTTTTGTACAAATTCTCCCCCTGGTATTATTACATTATTCAAAATATATTCATTTAGGTTCATGTCTAATATTTGTAACTAAATTAACATTACTACTCAGTATGTCCTAATTAATTATTAATTAATAAGTAGTAGTAGTTATGAGTAAAACATTATTTAATGTATTACTCATAACAATTAGACAAATCTAATTGTTCCCAAAAAGGTACAATTAGTTAATTGAAGCTATTAGTCAAAATAGGAACATTAAGTAATATTACTGCTTAAACTATTCTAATTGTTCCCATTTCAGTTGAAGCTATTAGCCAAAATAATAATATAATAAAATTAATACAGGCAAGTGCATATTGATATAAATAAAGTCTAAGAAATAAATAATAAAAGATATTTTTTTAATATTTATCAAATAATGATAATTAATAATTACGAGTATTATGATTAATAAGAAACATGTTTATTCCAACGACGAAACAAATGGACTAAATAACTTACAAAAGATTAATCTTCAGAGAAATATGCATAAGTATTTCATAAATAATGTTTTACTTATTTATATTACAATTAAAACTACAGGGAATCAAACAATTACTATTATTAGTAAAGTAATGTAGTCCCATTAAAATTTTGGTTATTTTGTTGCCGATACACTTAATTTGAAACTCAAATAAAAATATATTCTTTATTGTACACAAAAAGATATTGTATCAGAATAATAATTAAACATAATAGAGCACAAGGGCAAGTATAAGGTTTTTAGTATGTCTGGTATTCAACGAAATAATCCCGCAATTATAATAAAAAGGTTTGAAAATCCCACCGAAATCCATCCATTCATCCATCCGAAAAAAAAAACTGGCTACGCCGGTACTACTACTCAAATGTATAAGTAGTTACTATATATATATATATATATATATATATATATATATATATATATATATATATATATATATATATATATATAATAGCTTAATACAAACAAATCTTCCATTATTTAGTAAATTATCGAAAAATTTTCAGACAAATGCATTAATATTATTTTAATCGAAATATATAAAACAATACTAAAACAAACATCGTAGGGCTTACAAAAAATTAAGTATTTGTTTGTAATTTAATTGACGCTAACTATAAAATATTATAAATTATTATACTTATTTTGTAATCAAAATATTTTTTCCCGTATTTATGAACACATTTGTTTCCGACTACTATCTATTAAAGCTTATATAGTTTTGAGTATATGCTAAAAGCATATATTGCATAAATTTTGATATGAGTAATAAACATTTTCATTTCAATAACTATATCAATTCGCATAACTTAATTCTTGTTATGTAAATAGGTATCAAATCGTGATTTCATGCCACATTATATGTATGTATTGTGATAATATCGTCTCGAATTATTGAAATCTGTATATATACATAATTACTCTTTACATACATCGCTATTGCGTAGTAAGATCGTAGTCGAAAAGATCAGAGAAAACAATATATTACCAAAGGAGGCACCTACAGAAACTGCTACGTAAAAATAACCACGTGTTTAATATTTAGGAAAATAACACGTTTCAGAATTCGTGTAACGTCAACATAACGTACACCTAGGAGCGCTGCCAACGTGACCGGCACCGTATAAACAATCTTAAGTACGAGTAGCTATCTACTAAGAAACTAACTCCCTTTCGGCAAACAATATGTGCCATAAATAAGCAACCCATTTTACAAACGCCTTAAAAATTCTTTTAAACTATGAAATAAATGTAAAAGGTAGCAGACAAAAAGTGTTCTCGTAAGTTCCTTTGTATTGTAGTCTTCGTACAAAATTTTTATCAGGCAGGTA